CTAATTCGTGCGAAAGACTGTCCAAGCCCTCAGGTGTTCGGGATCTAAACGGGGAATTAGCGAACCCTAGCGGCTGAAACAGGAAACTACAACCGTCCCCGAGCGTTACCAAGGTTACAGGTCGTTTAGTTTTTTCGTTATTTGGACCCAACTTTGCCAATAGTCTTTTTTTCTTTCATTTGACAATTCAAGTTATTTTAAAATGGGAAATGTTTGTTCAAAAACAGGATTGGCTAAATGTAAAACTTTAATAAAGATGTAAAAATAATTTCAATCCATTTTTTATATGAATGAAATATTTGTATGTAATATCATAGTATGACATTCAGTTGTTCAACTAGTCAATTCAAATTAAATTAAAAGTATCACATCTTTTAAGATAAAAATAGTCCATCTTTGCCCTGAACTAGTTCTTGACCATGAGAGGTTGCTAAGCAACAAACCAACAGAGACAGCTTCCTTTTCATTTTCTGCAAAAATGTGAAAGTTTTGTTCAGGGAAAACACAAACCCACATGCATCTGTTGAGCTGTAGTCAAACAAACAGACATAACGGTGTTTGCTCACTATCGAAACAACAGAACCAGGCAGGAACGTGGTCAATCGGTGTCGACTGTTGTGTGAAGTTGAGCCGGTTAAAGGGATGGGATGAATTTGAGCTTCTGCTGAAGACTCCTAAAAGACATGACACACATCTGGTTTCAGAGGGTTCAGTGATGGAGGACAAAGGAGTTTGTAACCAATGGTTTCTTCACAGGATATTAACTCTGTAAGCATCTACAAAATGATTGCAGCTATTTATTTATCAGTAATTCTGGTCTTCTTTGATATGCTACATGGCCAGCTTTCCATTAGAAAACTTTTCCCTTGATCCAATATGGCGGCTTTCAAGATGGTGGCCATATTCAGGGCAGAACCCGCCCTCGGCAATGATATGTTGGGGTATTTAGGCGTATTATTTTCTCTTTTGTTCCTGAAATAAAACTGTCCTGTGACTTTCGGCTCACTGTTTTTCCTGTTAAAGACACAAGAAACCCCCATCAAAAGACTCAAATGACCAATCGGAGAGCGGCTGGCGTTTCTCATAATTATTTAATCACACATACATTTACATCATGCAGTCAATCCAAAACTGTGATCTCACTGATTTCCCGTCTGCGTCCTCATCAGAGCCCTGCTGCTCGCGCCCGGCTCTCCGGAATGATCCAGTACCGCGTCTACTGATGGATCCCCAAAAACTGTCCTTTAAAAATTGACCAACTATTACACAGTAATAAAAAAAAGTGGCTACACTTTTGTTTTGTTTTTTCTTCAGAATTAATGCACGATTCAATTTAGGTAAACACGAGTATTCTTTGCTGTATTTGTTTACTATTCCCCCCCCACTCGTTGGACGTCCAGTTTTGGTGAAAGATCAAAGGATAAACATTTTTGAGGTCCATGCTGCAAAGTCTCGACTAATCTAGAGGTTACACAGATAGACACCAATCGCTGTCCTGTGGTAGGTACGGGGGGGGAGTTAGTGGTTCTCCACATCCACCTCCCCCCCGCAGGGCTTTGGAAACGTTTCTGTTTAACCCACCAGTCAAAAACAGCAAAACATGGAGTGTGTTTCATTTTTTCCATCATCTTTCTTGTTCAGAGTGCGGATTTTTTAGAAGGAAGTGCTATTAAACCCCGTTTTCCTGCTCATCTCGTCCACTAAATAACCCCTCTCTCGTCCATTTAGATGCACATAGAGGTGTTTTTCCACTGAGAGGCGAAGCCGGAGAGGCTAACGGCTGACGGGGGGGCGGGGGAGCTCCCCCCCCCCCCTCATGTACAGTGTTTTACAGTGTATGTGCACAACATGTTAGTGTTCTCATGCCGGGCTTACAATCACAATGGGCTTTTTGTTAATGCGCCGGGGGCTTCGCGGGGAAAACAGAGAGAGGAGAAAGAAAAAGGGATCCTGGTGGGACAAATATAAAACAGATACAACAAAACACCAAAGAGACCCTACGTGTCCTGGATAGATTAGGTTAAATAAACTCTTCCTCCACACCATGACAGAAGATTAATGTGCAATTTGAGACCCCGCTCCCCCCTCTGACTGGCTGATCAGCGGGCAAAGGGTCGGATCCATCCACTGACACCCCCCCCCCTCCCCTACCCGCCCCCCCGCTCCCCCTTTCCAAACAGAAACCTACATCATCTATGAAACAACATCAGATACAGTACATAAAACCCAGCATAAAACCCAAGGTCTTAACCCTACGAGAGACGCCATGACGGGGGCGGGGAGGGGGGGGGGGGCAGGACAGGGGTTGTGGGTGCTATCTCCGTCTGTACGACTGCAGTCTGTGTGCCCCGGTGCGCGGGGGTATAAATAGAGTCCATTACCGCGGCCTTCCCATCTGAGAGGGGTAAAAACAGCACGTTTAGCTAGGTAGCGCCGCCTAAAAGTTTTTTTTTCCGGATCATTCTCCTCCCTCCTTCCTTCCGTCCTCCTACATTCGTTGCATCCTTCCCACTGAGATAACGAGTACAGCTTTCATCTTTAACTTACTGGTAAAAACAATTGGCCTCCACAGGTATTAAGTTAAATACATCTACAGGACACGGCTTGTCATGTGACCCTTCGTTTAGCCCCCCCCCCCCACCCCACTTTCCCCCTTTTCCCTCCCTCTGTGTGCATCTGTGCCCATTTTACATCTGTACAACAAGAGCGCCATCTAGTCAATTCAATTTTTTTGTTTGTTTTTTTTGTGTGTTTTTCTTTTAAGAAGCATGTAAAATCTACCCGGAGACAAGTGTGGTTAACAACCAATCAGAATGAAATGTACAGAGGTTAGCCTACGGGGTCACGCCTGCTTTAACCGCTTTGAAACTTTTGTCTTTTCTTTCGTTTAGTTTGTATTTTTTTGGTCTTTTTCTGTGTTTTCTCTATTGTTCGGGATCTTCTTGCTACCGTTACGTTACATTCAGCTTGGCACAGTGCAGAACTACTCGCACGGAGACGACGGATGACGACGGACTGTGCAAAACAAAAAGCCGAACCGAAGCTACACATTCGCTTTCGCTCGCCAAGGCTGCGCTCAAGACTGCGTTTGGTTCAGTGAATAAGAATATTACTCTGCCTTTTTGTAAATTAAAACTGCTCTTTTTTCTTAATATATCCCGCGAGAGAAAAAGAAAGATAATTTATAATGAGAACTTTGGGGGTGGGTGGGGTGGGCTGAGGGAGGGGGGTGGGGGTGGGGGGTGTTTCGGGGGTGTTGGAGCTGTACAGGCCGGGAATATTTATATATATATTTATAATTCAGAAACTCCTTCGTGGCTCCGAAGCTGCGAGGAGGAGCCCGTTTGCTGTAATGGAATGACAGGTTGTCAGGTAGGCGGGGGGGTGGCGTTGGCTTCTTCTGTGGTGTCATTCTTCAGTCCCGCTCCTCTTCAGCTACAGAGAAAACAGAAAAAAAACAGAAGAATAAAATAAATAAGATCCAACGAACGCGTCGGAGGCCGACTCGCCCGACATAATTTATTTCATTATAATAATTTTAATAATAATTTTAAAGAATTTTGAATAATAAGTAATAATTCACTGTGTTTCGTGTAAAAGCCTAACTGGGGACAGGCATTGAGAATTAGCCTTAGCTAAAATGTTATAGTGTGTGACATGTTTCATGAAACATACTTGTCCCTATCAAATAAATAAATAAATAAATAAATAAATAAATAAATAAATAAATAAATAAATAAATAAATAAATGAATGAATGAATGAATGAATGAATGAATGAATAAATAAATAAAATAATTTCCCTCTGGGGTTATTAAAGTATTTCTGATTCTGATGAAAAGGCTTTTCTGGAAGGTGGAAAACTGCTGAGTCAGCGCTGGTGGGAGGAGGGAGGCGGCCTGTGAATGGAGACGGGAGGTTTTTCCTCCCCACTCACTTCTTGTCGGGCTTGCTGCTGACGCCCCCCCGGATGGAAACCGTCTGGCTGTTCTGGTAGAAGCCCCCCCCGCTGCGGTTGACGTTGGGGTGGGTGGGCGACGCCACCGGCTGCTGGCCGGGCCGGATGGGTTTGGCTGAGGGGGAGCAGAGCGTCAGTAAGTGGGGGGGGGGACACTTTAAAAACACAGCTTCTCACACACAATCAGACCCGGAGCAGATGAGGGCTCCAAATCTAATTGTTACAATAATAATATTACAATCTAATTACATATTTTAGTCACTCAAATCTCTGCGCTGTGTTGCTTCCTTGTATATTTGTTTGTTTTTGCTGTTTGTACTTTGTGCACCTTTTCCTCCTTTTGAACTCTCTTAGTCACTAAACCGATGTGTGACCAGTGAATTTCTCCTCTGTGAGATCAATAAAGCTCTTATCTTATCTTTTAAGTCAAAGGGACGCAAAGACATTTAACTCATTGGCTGCCAAAGACGTCTAGTCTTTTATGTTTTTCAACGAGAGTGGCTGGGGGACGATCTGCTAAAGCTTGTCCGTAAATATCAGGCTTCTAGACAGAGTATGTAGTAACAAATTGACCCTCTAAGGGGCAGTGCCACTTTTGATGGGAGATGAGCATAGACTGTAGGCAAATAAGAAAAAGGTAACGGTTCTATGATAGAACATGTCGCTGGTGAGACGCAAGTCGAGGAAGAACGGAATAAGGTAGAAACACATTTTTTTTTTCTGATGAAAGAAGAGAGTCTACTCTTTTTTTTCTGTGTGTTTGGTGTTTACATAGTCATAGCACAAACTATTCTGTGGCTCTTGAAAAATCAGTCAAAATGCTCAAAAAACTCTGGCAGTATGGGACTCTCTGTTCTGAAGATGGCTGGCAGTCAATGAGTTAATTAGGATTTCAGGAGAATGTGTAAACCTGAGAAAACGGGGCATTTGTCTCCAACAAGGAAGTCCTCAAGATAAAAAATTACTCTCCCTCAATCAAGGGGTTTGAAAAGAGGCTGATCTGTGACAGACCTGCTTCATATTAGCTAAAGAGAGCTCCTAAAATGTGGGTGTGTATTTCCCGTTTACTGACCGATCTGGGCAGAGTGGCCTCTCCTGGCCATGTTCTTGGCCCGGACGGCCTCTTTGATCCGGTCCACCTCCTGCTGGTAGCGCTTGCGGTCGCGGGCGGCGTTCTCCTTGGCCTCCTTCAGTGCAGACTCCAGGGCCTTGACGCGCTCAGCCGTAGCACGAAGACGCTTTTCCAGTTTTGGAAGCTCACAGCGCAGGTCTGCATTGTCACGAACCAGCTGCCGACCGACCGGGAGAGGAGGAGAGAGTCAGGCTACACGCTCACCGGGCTAACGGCACAGGGGTTGCCACGGAGACGGCCGAGCTCGCACCTGTTTGTGAACCTTGGTGAGTTGCTCAAGATTGTTCTCAAGAAAGGATATTTTCTGTTTCTGCGCGGCGCTGCCCCCCGTGTCGTCCGAGTCCATCTCGGCGCTCTGCAGAGAGAAAAGGAGGAGAAAATCTGAGTGTCCACGTCTCACACCCCGCTACCATGAGACCTACTAGGACATCAGGCCCCACCTTTTTCACCCGGGTTGCCAGATCCTGAACGAAGAGCTTCCTCAGGTTGTGCAGAGTCTGCAGCTCCTTGGCCTGGAGGGAAGAAATTAGCGTTCAGTGCATGTATTAGGGTTGTCAAAAGTATCGATACCACCGCCCCCCCTCGCGAAGATCCCAGGCAAGAAAATCCTAATTTTAAAATAGTGAAATTAATCTTGCAAACATTCAATTCAACTCTATACTTAATACTATGTTAAAATAGTGGATGTTAAATAGGTTTGTACAATAAGTCCAAACAACTTTAACCAAAAAAATATTTATTTCTCACAATTATGAAGGGTGGAGGGTCAGGGTCATTAATGTGGGCCACCGGCCACGAAAACATAAAAACTGTCAAAATTCATACATTTTGGGGTCTTTGTTTTTATCCTTGTGGTATCGAAAATGGTATCGAGTATAGAATATTTTCCTGAGTATCGGTATCGAGTTGAAAAATTTTAGTATCGTGACAACCCTAGCATGTATCAAATAAAAGTGGAGTTTCTTTGGCTGAATCCGGGCGGTTTAACTCACCACTGTCTCCTCCAGACCCTTCAGGTCCTGTCTGGCCTGCTCCCGTCTGTCCTGCATCACCCTGAAGGAGACAGTGAGGGCCAGTTAAAGGCGGCTGACAGCGGGACACAAACCGGGGCCGTGTGGAGCGGCGGGACCTACGTCAGCTCGTGCAGCTTGCGGCTCTTCTCCTGGTCGGTGGATTTGAGTTTTTCGTGCTCCACTCTGAGCCTCTCCTGCTCCAGCATGATCTTCTGGTTCAGACTGGGGGAAGGAAAAAAACGGACCGTTAACATTCCTGCTTCATTTCTGCTGTCAGATTCTTCCTCGGTCCATTTTGGATTATTTTACGTGTTTTGTTTTTTTTTAAATCAGCTATTATTCCCGTTTCCTGAGGCCAGAAAAATGAAGGAGCATGAGTAGATGTGGTGCTTACTCCTGCAGCTCAGTGATGAGCTTCTCCTTGTTGTCCAGCTCGTCTCTCAGGCTGCTGATCTGTTTCTGGTGAGCTTCGCGATGGGAGTGGATCTGCTTCTCCACCGCTTCCTGAACACGGGAGCAACGGGAAATACTTTAGTTTACATTGCAGCGTGTGACGAAAATGTAAAAAAAAAACTGCAACAAACTTATTTTCAAAAGTTTTAGAAATGCTGTTAAGGCTCCAAACCAAAAACAACCAACACACCTTGACCTCATTGGCGGTCTGGATCTCATTTTCTTTCTCCATAGCATGAACTTTCTCTGTAGAGTAAAAACACAGATCATGTTAACTAAAGTGACTAAAGAGTGAGAATACCACTGACTTCCATTGTTTTGGAGTCTGAAACGCTTTTCAAAAGTTAAATGAATGATTTCATTAGCGGGTTGGAGACTTTTCTCATTCAAATATTACTCTTATTCTTATCAAACAGTGAAGGTACAGACTGAGTGCTGAGAACTTTTCTACATGTTTCCGTTTGTTGGGCACTTTTTCCCCCCGTCCTCTCCATTTTCTTACCCTGAGCACTGAGCTTCACCAGCTCCTCGTTCAGAGAGTCCACGTTCTCCTCCAGCTGCCTCTTCTTATGCTCCACGTTCTGCAGGTACTCGGTCAGGGACTTGATTTTTGCCTCATGCTGCAGACGAAGGAGTAACAGTTGTAAGAAGAAAAGAAAAAAACAGCGGATTGCAGGAAAAAGGATCGTGTACGGGCAGTGAAATCTGTACCTGGGAGATGCGCAGCTGGCAGGCGGCCAGCTCCTTCTCGTTCTCGTCCATCTTCTTGTTGCTCTCCGACTGGGTGCCCTCCAGCTGCTTGCAGCGCTTCACCATGGTCTTCACCTCCGACTTCATCTTGCTGATGTACAGGCGGGCCACGGTGAACTCCTCGTCTATCAGCCCGCTGCCGCCCTCGTGTTGCTGGGGAGACGGAGGAGGAGAGACGTTACGCAGCGCAGAGGAGGACAGAGAACAGAAAGCAATGGCAGGGATGAGGAGAAAGAATGTATTTTAAAAGAGAAACCTTAATGTCATTGCTGCCGACAGCGATGCCGATCTCAGCCAGGTCCTTCAGCAGTGATGACATCATCTCTGTGACTCTCTTCTTCTGGTGGTTGGACATTTCTTTGAGCTTCTGGAGCTCAGAGTCCAGAGAGGACAAAATAGACTGGAAGGAAAAAAAGAAACATTGTCACAAACTGTCAGAGGGGAGGTGGAAACCTTTCCGTACACTGATGTGAACTGGGTGTGTGGTGGCATTTCCCAAAGGCTTTAGACTGGAGGGAGTCCAAAAGAAACGCAACTGGTGGGTAATCTGTAGAAGCGGCTCTATTTACTGACAGAAGTCGGACGATGGGAAAGCAGAAATAATCTGGTCGGTTTTAAAATGAGATGGTGTGTGTCTGTGACAGCAGGGTAAGGAAAAGCCAGTGAAAGTCTGCAGCTGTAACATGAAGCCCAGAGCGGGTAAAGCTGCTTCCCCCTTCCATTCTTGTTCCGGCTCACAAAGGAGGCTGTGGCCTGCTTCTCATGACAGGCCTTTGTCCTCACGGTGGTATAGCAATAAACCCGTCATCTGACCCTTCATGAGCACCGTAACCCGGAGCTATGTCCTGTGAAGTTATTACTCCCCTTCCACTCGGCTGCATTTCCCTGCGGACGGCCGCTCGCTGCGTTAGAGGCTGACGTGTCCTTTAGAATTATTGCCCAAAGGATAAAACGCCGGGCACATCATGTAAATGACGGCATTTAGCTCGGATCTTTTTCACCTCGCAGCAAACCTTTGCAGACTTGGAGAGCTTTTTTAATCATGTGAAAAACAGAGGATTGGCAGTGGTTCTCTGGTGGAATATGGCTTTGTTTGTGTGCTGCTCTTTATCCCATCAGAAGACGATTAAGTGGCACCGACTCACCGATTTTTGGCTGAGCTCCTCGCTGATGGCCTCAAACTCCTTGGTCTTGTCCTCCACCTCCTGGCTCTTCTGGTCGTAGTTGACGGCCAGCTCCTCCAGGGCCTGCAGCACCTCCTTCACCTCCTCTTTGGAGGCCTCGTTCTCCGCCTGCAGGCGGTTCAGCTCGGCCTGGAGGTTCTCGTGATCGCGCCGGGAGGACGCCAGGAGCTGCACCGGGGCAAACCAGGGCAATTCGGAACATTTCCTACAAACCTCCCGCTGCTAAGAAACTCGAGACTTTTGCCCACTTTGGTACAAATGCCTGATGGCCACAGAGACCGGAGCTCCAGCACTCACCTCCTCCTGATCCAGCATCTGCTGCTTCAGCTTCTCGGCCAGCTGGCTCTGCTGGTTGATCTCCTCGTCCTGCAGAACAGAACGACATTCAGCCAAAAAAAAACGGACCGCAGCTTCCAGATAAAAGAAGCACGCAACGACCCGAGTACCGGAAAACTATTGAATTAAAACGTCATAACTAAAGTAGAGCATTAATGAGGAACCCTCAGTTTAAAGGATTTTCTTTTTACATCCATACCAAATTATTTTGATACCTGTTGATAACTGAAAATTACTGATATCCTCTTAAAGAGAGGGACTAACTCATCCACAAACAACCCATTGATTTGATTTGTTGCTTGTGATTTAACATCTCGAACTCTACATCTGTTGGCTTAAGATGTCATATTTTCTCGATTCTAAATTGTCATTTTAAAATTTAACCTCTTACACATCTTTCTGAAGCCTGAGATTGAGGAAGAGTTCGATAGAATAATTAATAATCCATCTATTGAGGTTGGGAGGTCCTTTGACCCTCTACTTTTATCTGAAAAGTCTTCATTCAGTCCTCCCTGCTGCCATGTGCTTCTCCAAACCTTATCGTCCAGCTGTTTGTAGAGCTTGGCGAGCTCGGCCTCACACTTGTCCTTCTCCACATCTGTGAGGCGCACGCCGGGCATGTTGGGCGTGGAGGCCGGCTGCTTCTCGTTGAGGATGTTGTCCAGCGCCAGCACCTCTTCCTTGGCCTTCTCTTTGTCGAACTGCTCCTCCACCGGGACGCTCTCACCTGCGGGGGGAGAGGGGGGGTGATCGTTTAGGGCAGTGTTTTTCAACCTTTTTTGAGCCAAGGTACATTTTTTCATAGAAAAAATCTCGAGGCACACCACCAACCAAAAATGTCAAACAAATCTGTAGCCGCCTATATTAACACTATAGTTATTCTTATCTTATTCTTATCTTATCTTAAGTGTCTTGAATAGGAATCAATTAAACACAGAAATGTATTTTTATCATATTTTCTATTTCTTCTTTCAAATTGCTCTCAACATGTCGACTTCAATATACAAAATATATATAAAATCTAGTCATAAGGAATTATTACATGATTACGCCACCAGTCACTAGAACAGCACAGACACTCAAAAATGGCATATTATTTGCAGAAAATTAATTCCTTATCAAAAAATTTTAAACCAATTAGGTGAAATAGGATGATTTTCTACGGTACACCTGACGATAACTCGCGGCACTCTAGTGTACCGAGGCACGGTGGTTGAAAAACACTGGTTTAGGGGTCCGGATGCGGGCGGAGGAGAGCCAGCTGTGTGCAGATGTGGCCTTACCGTTCCTCCAGCGGTTGAGCTCGTTCTCCAGCCACGTGACGGTGTTCCTGAGGGTCTTGTTCTTCTCCTTCTCCCGCTCGTACTTCTGCTTCCACTGCTCCGCCGTCAGCTCAATGTTCACCGTCACCGTGTTCTTGATGGTCTTCGCTCTGGTAGTTGACGAACACAAAAAAAATGGAGACCCATTTCATCCAGAGCACAATTCACAATATATACAGTGGTGGAAATAAGTATTTGACCCCTTGCTGATTTTGCAGGTTTGCCCACTTACAAAGAATGCAACGATCTATAACTTTAATCATATGTACATTCTAACAGTGAAAGCCAGAATCCCAAAGAAGATTCCAGAAAATCACATCATATGAATTTATAAAAATTGATAACCATTTGATGAGGAAAAATAAGCATTCTTTGTGGGCAAACCTGCAAAATCAAATGCTTATTTCCCCCACTGTGTATATACACAGGGAACCTATTCAAACACGTCACGTTTAGGACATCTTTTGAAAAGGCCGTCCTTCCTTTGGCTTACAAACCTCTGTCCGAACATGAGGGTGGACTTGGTTTCGGCTTCATTATAGGAGGAAGGCGAGCAGCAGATGACGATGGTGGTGCGGCAGTTCCCACCCAGGGAGTCCTGAAGGATACGGGTCATCTTGCTGTCTCGGTAGGGGATGTAGGCCTGGAAGAGGATTAGATACAGGTTTTCACCACTGTTCTCTTCGCCGTATTTACCTGCATCTGAACCCAGATAATTGCTCCCTAATTCTCTGAATGAGCAACTGACCTTTTGTTACATTACAAACCACTGACACCTCAGTCAAAAAGTAGGAAAAAAACAAACCGTATGTTTTCTGTGTCTAAATATTTCCCTCTGAAGTGCTGAAGAGGAAGCCTTTTGGCTCCGGTGGGGCCGAGCAACAATAAGTGAAGGCTGATGTTACGTTGCTCTTCACGAGGAGCAAATTCAGCCAGTCATGCACACACAAAAGCCGGTTTGTTTTTCCAGCGTCAGAAACCCATCGGCGGCCGCCCGCCGCCGGCCGTTTACAGAGCCGGCGAGCCGCAAAAACAATCCCACGGTTGATCAAAGTGAAAAGGGTGAAATCGGTGCGATACGCCGGGCCGAAACGTCGCCCGGAGGAAAGTTTTTATGGGCAGATTTGCTCCTGCAGCACAGAGGGCTCGTGGATGTCTTTAAAAGGAACTTTCTCTGGAAGATAAGTGAATGAAACCTTGGTTTTCATCTGAGCTGGGGGCTACGCGGCTGGTAAACAATGCAGCCTGCTCTTCTGTGTGCTGTATCAACAGCTCTGTGTGTCATTTAAAAAGACCTGGAAAAATTAAGTCGCTGCCTGAGGCTGGAAAAGATTTAACACTGGTACCGATAGTAATCGAGAAAAACTACGCCAGAAAGAGAATTAAGCTTGTTCTGTTACTCAGCGGCATTAAAGGGGACATATTATGCAAAACCAAGTTTTTAATCATTTGATTATGTACATTTGGGACTGTGGAGGGCCTATCAGCAGGCAAAGTGTGAAAAAAAATTACTCAGTCATGTTTTTGTGGGCTGCCTCAGTCTGAATCCAGGAGATAAATCAGGAGGTTTCAGGAGTGGGTAGTTTCTGACGTCATTAGCTCTAGCTCATTATAATATTCCAGCCTTTCACCTGCATGTTGCCCCCCCCCTCAGCTTACTCCGCCTATCTGTGGCAGACGTCGTGGTAGCGTGAGCGTTAGCATGGTAGCGTTAACATGGTAGCGTTAGCATGGTAGCGTTAGCATGCCGACGTGGGCACACCTCCCAGAAGAAGTGGGTGGATTGCCTGTGTCTCATTTGCATTTAAAGAGACAGGCACTCCAAAGCGAGCGCTCTGAACGGGGCTGTTTTGGCAGGGGGACTGAACTGCTATTGGGCTTCATCCTTATGGGATCTTGAAAGGGATATTCAAAGCTTGTCACAGACATTACATTAGGACACCAGGGAACTAGTTTAACTTGTTGAAATAGGGTATAATATGACTCCTTTAACGCCGAACAAACTCGTCAACTCGCCACATAGGACGTTCGATTAGTAAACACACTCATCGGGCTACTGACCGTTCCCTCGGCCAGCGCGGAGATGACGTTCCCCAGGGACGACAGGGACTTGTTGATGTTCTTGGCCTCGTCCAGCACAGCTCCCTCTGCACCCGTTTTACTGACCTGCAGATCACAGGGGGACAGCCAGGTGCTCAGAGCCGGCCCCCGGATGGTCAGCAGAGAAAGCAAAGCCCGATCTGACCCCCGTTTACCTTCTCGCTACCGGCCAGATCCACCAGATAGAGCTTCCCGCTGAGCTTCTGCTCCGTCTGGGTGTTCTCCTGTTTGACGTTTATCAGGAAGATGCTGTGACTCCTGGAGCTGTGCTCGTTCATGTCTGAGGGAAAACAGACGTGAGGTCAGTGGCCGTCTGACATCGGGGATAAAGATCCCGGCCAGGGGCGGGCAGGGGGGGGGGCACTCACTGGTGACTGCTACATGTCTGTTGGATTTGCCCTCATCGATGGTGTCCATGACTTCCTCAGGACTGCAGACAAATCTCTCAGTGCAGCCCTTTAAGAAAACAAGAACAGTTCACCAACCAAACGGAGGATTCAGCGGCTGTCTGACAGGAGAAAGGAAAGCAGAGCTCACCTTCACGTAGGGAACTCTGTTTTTGTCTTCATGCACTGACAAATTGGTCTTTGACACTGGAATTAAATGGGAGAAAAGTCAAAGAGATGTATCATTATCAGTTGCTCAGTTGAGAAAAATGCCTTTATTTTGATCGTTTCTATTTTTTTTGCTGAAAATGTTTTGTTGTTTTCGTTTGACCATGCAAACAAAACAAGTGAGATATTCAGTGTTTTTTTAGGTTTCAAAATCTTTGATTTTCAGAACACTAAAGAGATAATTAAACAAAACCATATAATTTTTTTCCCCATGTGTTTTTCTAAATCCTATCATAGGCGGTATCATTACCTAAAAGACACATGTCACAATGCCCATGACTTTCATTTTCTGAGCATTTGGCACAGTTTGGTGCCATTAGAAAAGAAAAGGGGAATTAGAGCTGACTGAAACATTGCAGCTGCTTACCATCCAGCAGATCCCGGATCTTGTCTAAGTAGATTTCAAAATATGAGACCTACAACAAAACAGGAGAGAAAAAAAAGATCTTTACAAGCTCATCCAGCGAACAGAATGAACCTACACTCAAAAGTTATTTAATACGACCGATTAAAAGAGCCAGTGAATAAATCAGGAAATCAAATACAGGTGGGAAAAAACATCATCAGCTTAAGGGAACGTATCACGGTGTTCCTCCTACTTTGATATGAAACTCCAGGTTTTCGTCCATGGAATAGATGTAGTTGAAGATATCTTGCACTATCCTGGGGATGATCCCCATTCCATCTGTGTCATGAAGATTGCCCTGAAAGCACACAGCAAACCCATGCATAATGTAAAGGGCAGAATGACATTAAAAGAGAAACGCTGCTGTTAAACACAGTCAAAGGGAGTCATCTTTACCTCCATGGTGTGTGTTTTACCGGAGGATGTCTGCCCATACGCGAAAATAGTCCCATTGTATCCCTCAAGAACATCTAAGAGACATTAAAAACACCCTTGTAAGACATTATTCAAATAACTGTGTACTTTTCATGATTAAATCCATAATATGCTTCCAGCAAAACATCTAAAAGAAAAAGTGAGAGCTCACCTTTGACGATCTTTTGGGCACAGGCATTGTACACTTGTTCTTGTGTTGTATTTGACTGAAACACTCTGTCAAACATGTATGGTTTACCCTAGAATACAGAAAATAGGAGTTAGTGACAGCTCCAAATGTTATTTCACGTCGTACGTGGCACCTTTTTATTCTTTTGAAGGCTCAATGATCTGGAAATTTCAACATCAGGAATCGGGCCTTTCCTTTAGAAGAAGTCATGCTTTCTGCAATTGCAGCGGCAGTTGTTGTTTATCAACAATTAAATTACTAAACATTGAATGCTGACGACCAGCATTGATTAGGGTATCAGTTACGTTAGTGCATGTGCTTCTATCGGAGACAGGCTTTTTAGATGCTGTAATTTAAGAGAAGAGGAAATTAGGCTGTACTAGAGGGACCGCACACACCGATGACAGACTAAAACCCATGGATGTCGCATCAAATCATCAGTCTTCCAGCGAGAAGATCCCCGTGAGTTCAGCTAACGTTTTAGATAAAATCAACTTCCACTCAGCACCTAAAATAAACTCAGTTAACTCTTAAGCTTTCACAACCGTTTTAGGGGCCGTTCTACCTCAGGCAGGAAAAATAAAGCTGACGGTAACATCCATGAGCCCTTCAAAACTTCAAAGCACTATATTCCAAGGACACCGCAATCAATAGCTGGATTTAAGGTGGAATCTGCAGGGCAACAAAACTGATGTTACAAGCAATTCTGAGGTTAAACTGAGACTGTGGGCTGTCTTCGGAGGCTTGGCATCCCATTTGACTCCACTCATCTCGTCTTCATTCTTATGGATGAAGCTCTGACTGAGATGGAGAATACATTAAAGAGCAAGAGCCTCCAATCCCATGCTAGCAGGACTTATGTAAGGCTGCAAAAGGGGGCATAAGATCGCTTCCATTATAGCTCGGAGTTCACACCTGTACAAGTCAGACGAGCTCAGGATGTTGACAGCGGCTGTCATCACCTTGAAGGCCTCGCCGATTAGGGATTACCGCTTTGGGATCAGCCTTCCATGCGAACACATTCCCAATTCAAGGTGAAACCACATATTTGTATGACAGCAGTAGTTACGTGGTGTCCACCAGTGCTGGGACTGATGCCTCTCAGCTCCACACCTGCTCACAATCCCTCCCGTCGGACAGTCAGATCACCATCTTTAGACATTTGTAATTGGCTCATATGGCCACAACCTGCCCATTAACCCTGTCCAGAACACCAGGGCTGCTGTCAGGCCCCGGGAAAACAATGGCCGCCAGTAGTTGCTGCTTCTGCTATTGTCCTCCTTACTTACACTTCTGCCTAATGGGATTACTGGCTGAAATTGCAATTACAGTTAAATGTATTGCTGGCGTATTCAGGAGAGCTCTGTCAGAGTCCTCCCCGGCTGATGGCTCTGTAATGCTACCAGGATATGGGAACACACGGCCACATCCACCTCTACACGATCTGTGTTTTCATCAGGAAATGTAAAATAGCATGAAAGCAACCATCGCACCCAAATTCACCACTCCGGTTTATAAAACCACAGCTTCCTCCTTTTGTACTCATAATGCCGGTTAGAGAAAAAAAAAACAGGGGTCGACAACTTTACCTTACCTGTTTAAATGCTATCTGAGCACTGTTACTATTAATAGTTACAAATATTAATTATAAAGTAACTCCTTTCTCTTCTTGCCCAGTGTATGAAAGTGGAAAACATGAGGACTAAGCGAGGGGGGTAGGCTGATCCTTTGGCGTAAAACCTACAGAGGGGATGCATAAATAATGCACCTGCTGCACGCTCACGCTTCTCTGGCAAAGCCGGCTCGGGAAATCGAGCTTGTTACGCCCAAACCAACACATCTGCAAACTTCATTGACCTCCTTTAGTGGCGGAGCAGC